GGCACATCCCTGCTTTCTCCATCTGGCTTATTCCAACAATGCAATCACATCCACAGTGTCTCCCTGAAAGAAACTCACTCACACAACTAACACCCCAACTTTTATGGATGCCAGGACCCCAAATCACCTAGTTCTGATAGCCAACAGGGCTTGATCCATCTCAGAATTCTACCAGCACTGAAATCCTTAAACACTCAGTGGTAGCTGATTATCATGGAGCTCAGCAAAAGGCCCAGTCCCTTCAAAGAGGACAACCTACAAGGAATCAGATTCAGGCACCTTTATTCTAAATTTTTACCCTGATTTATTCCTTTGTATATTTTCATCATACATATTTAAAGTCATTTTCATAAAAAGAGGACTTCATATAAAGTCCTTTTCCATTTCCTCCCATGTGAAATCTTCCCTTTATTATGTCCATTGGCTCAGTCACAAAAAAAGTTCTTGAATGACAAGAATGGCTCACTGTGCCTGAACTCTAAAAAGAATGTGGTTTGTGCTAAACATCTTCTTCGGAGAGTCTAGAATTTTGGTGCCTGCCAAGCAAGGATGCCTCCGTGTCTATCTCCCAGTCAAAACTTTAGTCACTTGTTCCCTCATAAATCCCCTTGTACACAACCCTGTGCACCTGTTATTACAACTCCAGCATGAGTTGTGTTTCCTGTGTGACTCCGCTGGGAGAGGATGCTTATAAGTTTCCACCTGATTTCCTCCAGACTCTGTCCACGCACCTTTTCCCTTTGCTGACTTTATGTTCTTTCCCTGTAGCTCCTCCCCATTAGCCATCAGTACGATTCTAGTCTTAGTCTGAAGGACCATTCAAATAAATCATCAAATCATCATAATCGTAGGGACAGTGGGCACAGGGGTCAACCTGTATAGCTACCCTAAATGCAATGCCTCAACCAACTAACATCTCTAACTCCCTCATTCCTGTGTCCTTCTGTTCTTAAAAACAACCAGAGCCATTCTCACATTTTGCAGCATTTTTCTTTGGGTTTTGCTCAATGATTTATTTTGTCAATTCAACACTTTGTCTTCCATGTTTCAGGGATTCCTCAAAATCTCTGATCCATTGAGGGTACTTGTTATTCCGTAACAGTGATGTAGATTTATTTTTAAAAGAATAAATTTCTCTGTCATCTCTAAAGATTTACAGTGTGGGTAAGCTTGCAGGCACATTTTATCAATTTGTAGCCTGATCTCCTGGTCTTCTGTTGTTTATCAAGTAAAATGGAAAGAAAAAGTATTTCATTAGGACTGTCAATCCATACTTGCTTTGTGTTTGCTATCAATTCATCTTAGCAAGTATTTATGTAGGGATTAGTGCCAATAAACCTAAAGTGTTTAATTACCACTTTTAATGAAATGTAGTGTCAAAATAATTGGAATGTAAGGAAATAAGCACAAAAGAAAGGTTAGTTACGGCTGGAGACAGACCTGTTTATTGGAGATAAAAATATAAAATTACAATTACCATAGAAAAAGGGACAACTACAAATTCAACTGAATTCAACACATAGATTGAATTCCAAGTCCACTAGTAAGTGCTGTAAATGATTTTAAAACATCAATCAGTTTGTCCTTACAAATTAGGTCTGATCTAATAAAATATTACAATTTATCCCCCAAATCAAACTCATGTGATGGGTTATCATGTTCTTATTAAAAACTCTGTGACAATAACACCTTACTTAGCTTAAATAAATGCTGTCAAAAAATATTTCAATGAACTGATTATGGTGTTTCCTTTTGTCATCCAACTTCTGCCATTACTTACTGCAGTGTTGGGCTAGTAGGTTAACTGTTCTTAGCCTCAGTTTTCTCATCTCTAAAAATGCCATGATAAATGCACTTGCTTCATAGAGTTGTTATGACAATTAAATATGTTAATGTAAGTAATATGCTTGATACAATACCTGGGAATATACGTAAGTTCCTCTTATTATGATTATCATTATCACTTCACACTTGCTAAGAAAACAGAAAACGGGTTATATTCCATTTCAACCATTTAGATTTGACTGTCTTTAGGCAAACCATACTCATCAACCTTCCTGGGCCTCAGTTTCCTCCCCTATGAGTTTAAGGAACTTCCAAGTTCCTACCTGGTTCTAAAATCCCAAGTCTGTTAAGGAATTCTTTACTTAGAAACAACCATAATGTTCCTTCATTGTCCTTTGAGCACTTAAGCTCAAAATTGAGTCCCTATGAAATATGTTGTTTAAATCACTCACCAACATATTACTGTCTATTTGTACACGTGAATGGCTGTGTTCTCCACATCCTTCCCCCTGGGGCCAGACAATAAGGACTTTAGGAACAAAGAACTATTCTTTCCTCTCTGCACATAATAAATACTCAGTCTTCAGTTCTTTTCATGCGTGTATTGAATAGATAGATGCCAAGCACTGCCCTAACTAGGTATTGAGGGAAAAGTAAATAAAACTTGATTGGGGGGAGGGGGAATAGGAGGGTGGACAGGTTTCATCAAAGAAACAATGGCCTCTGCCAGCATTGGACAATTCTATTCCTCCCCATAGGCCTCTAGTACTTTTCAAGCTGCTGCCCTGGTGCTGGAGCTCAGAGGGAGGGAGTCAGAGGCTGGGACTCCAGCAGCTGTCTGTCTTCCTCAGCCTCAATCCCACTGGTTCTCACAGCCAGAGGTTGTGGGACTTCTCCTGGCACTGGAACCCTGGATGGGAGGCTCGGTGTGGGGCTGAGAGAGATAAAAATCCCTCCTGATTTTTATCTGCACACATGGGTGTGGGACCAGCACGTTCTGCATCTACACACACACAGAGACACACACACACACACAGACACACACACACACACACACACACACACACACACACGTCTTGATATGGCTTCTTCCTTAATTCCCTAGTGTAGGACTTCCATTCAGCAAGGTTTCAGGTGGTTCTGAATGATGGTTGTTTTGTAATTTAGTTTTAATTTTGATGTGGTTGCGGGAGGAGGTGAGTACCGCATTTACCTACATCACCATCTTGACCAGAAGTCTTCAAAGGAATGTATTTGTTTGAAATGGCCCAAGTTATAATCGCAGAAAATAAGGTCTCATTCTATCACTGTGCTTTGAAGCATGTCTTTAATGCACCAAATATTTAGAGTATTGCAAAGCAAAAAACAAACAAAAAAATTATTCCTAATCTCAAAGAATTCATTATAGTAGACAGACCAATGAAATGTAATTATATTCTGGTATGATAAATTCAATAATAGAAGATTGTGTGATCAAATCTGCTTGAATGGCTTACAGAAAATCATTTTCAGAAAAAAACATGAACTGGGTCTTGACAGATGAGTAGCAATTCTCCAGCTGGGACTAAAAATGAAATAAAGCAGTCCCTTTGTTGTGACATATTTCATGCCCTGTATTAAGTTTTGATTTATTATACTGAGGCTGGCAAGGCTTTGATTTCTCTGAACCAAGTGGACATTCCTGACGTCAAGTATCTGAAGTGGAAATGTACTTTCAAATATCTTTCTGTTCCCCACGATGACCATTTTCTCAACAGATCCTATACATATTACCTCCTATTTTTTCTGTTTATTTCTCTGTATATGAACTAACTCCACTCTACTCCAAGCTCATCATCTATCACCTGGTCTATTACAATGGTCTCCTAGCCAGTTTTCCAATATTTGCTACTGCCCGCCCACAGTAGCTTAAATGGCAATATATATGGTAATATGCAAAGTGTCCTCTCAGGAGTTTGACGGGGAGACCAGGAGGTCAATCACTCGCTATGACGTGCATTGACCACCAGGGGGCGGCGCGGAACAAAGGAAGGCCATGGCCAGCAGCCAGAAGGCACAGGATCAGCCCTGATTGCCAGCCAGGCCTAGGGATGCCACTCATGCATGAATTTTGTACACGGGGCCTCTCGTTTAAAAATAATCATAGCCCTTCCACCTTTGGCAGAGGTAAAAGAAGGGGGGGGAGGGCAGTGAATGACTGCAAGTTGGAGCCTTTTCATGGTGTCTCTGTGGGAAGGCAGCCTGACATAGGTTGGAACCTGAGTGAAGAGCAGCCAATATAAAGTGTGGGAACCCAATCAGGATGAAGAGGGCAGCTGCACAGGAAAGGGGCTAGCACTAGCAATGGGAGATTGGTTACATGTGGGGGAATTGAAAGTTAAAACAAGGATAATGGGAACCAGATTTCTCATTGTCAGGGAAAGGAGCTACACTTGAAGAAGGGAGAAAACTGGAATGATTCTTTGTGGCATTATACTAAAATTGGAAGTTTTGGTGTAAACTCGTAGTTTCATGTATATGTAAACATGAACTTATGTATGTGTGTGAGTGTTAATGCACATATATTCCCTACCTGCTTTCAAGGGAGGGAAAAAGAGGGGGGACAGGAGAGAGAGAGAAATATCAATTTGTTGTTCCACTTATTTATGCATTCATTGGTTAATTTTCATTGGTTGATTCTCCCATGTGCCCTGACCCGGGATTGTACCCACAACTTTGATGTATAGGAGCAAAGCTCTAACCAACTGAGCAACCCAGCCAGGGCCTAAGCTTTCCTTTTTTATTTATTTATTTATTTATTTTGCAAAATTTCCCTTCTGCCCACCCACCAAAACAATCCACTGCAGCCCTGCCTTCCCTTTAAGAAGGGGATCACAGGGAAATGGCAATCCCAGATGGCCCTTTGAGTTTCCCTGTTACCATAGCAACGGGCGCCGGAAGGGGCGGCCCCCGCTGTCCTGCGTCCGCCCGGCCCCCTCCACCCCCCCCCCCCCGCCCCCGGCAGCGCCAGTCCCACGAGTGCGGGGAGAGGCGTGCACTTTGCGGTTAGACAGCGTGTCCCTCAACTCCGGGTTGGAACCGGAGCCGGATTCCGCGCCGACCGCCACGTCAACCTAAGTACACACCGCCCTCCCCGCCCAGCCGCCGCCGCCCCAGGCCTGGGGCGGGTCCGCCCGGGCCGAGCCGTCCCCGCCTTCCCACAGTGCCCCGCGCCGCGGGCTCCGCCCCCGCCCGGAGCCTGGCGTGCGGAGCCGGCGGAAGGTGGCTGCGCGCAGCTCCCCGCGCGGCGCACCCTCCCCGTCCCGAGCCGGCGGCCGGCGGTCCGAGAGGGCGCGCCTCCCTCCGCACGCCCAGCACCGCGGCGCCCGGCCGGGAGGACCAGCCGAGGGGGCTGAGGACGGGGAGCAGCTGTGGAGGCCACCCCGCAGCGCCGAGGTGGGCACGGGCCGGCTGGGCCGCTCGGGAGGGAGGGCGGAACGGCCGTGCGCGCCGGGATTTGAACCCTCGTCGCCCGGCGGCGGCCGGGTCACTGTGTTCTTGCTCCCCGTCTGCCTCCATACTATTGCCTCCGCCGCCTTCCTCCCCGCCAGCCGTTCCCCCTTCTTGTTCCAGGTCCTCCCGTTAGCGTCCGTGACTCGGGCTCCTTCCTGCCTTTTCTGGCGGAGGCTCCGCACGCCGGCCACGGGGGACCGTCCCTGGAACCTATTGTCTCCATCTCCCCCTCTGTCCGCCTGCCGTCCGGGGCGGGGGCTGCCGCGCCCCGCGCCCCGCGCCCCGCGGCACACACCCGCCGGGCTGAGGTCGGAGAGCGTGTTCTCCGCTTTTTTCCTCCGTGTGTTCCCGTGTGGATATTTATTAGTACGTAAACCTCACTGTATTTTACAAAGGTGTCTTTTGGTGGCATGAAGAGGAGGGATTAGGAATGATGTACAGGTTAGGACAAAAACTATACATGGACATTTAGGATTCAATGCAGGGAGATCCTGAGGATGCTTAGGAAAGTTAGCTTTTTTTTCTAAGCATGATAAGATCTCTGGAAGCAAAGTTTATACACTTTTCCATGTGATCTGACCTCATTTTTCCCTCCGACACAGGTGAGCATGTCGATATAGCTGATTCCCTTCTTTTATTTGTGTTTCTGCCAAACGGAGACTTGGCAATCAAGTTACACCGTTAGCTTGGGGTTCTTCTCCTACTTTTGTAAAATAGTTTCTGCTTATATGTCATGTGAGCACCTTCTGGGAAAACGGCCTGCTATGTAAGTTGTCTGTCAGAGCAGTAAAAAGCCACTGCCTTTTGTAGAAGGGGTATATGGAAACACAGACCCGCTGGAAGGTACCTGTCCTTCTTTCCAGTCCCCCTCCCGCACCCAAAGGCTGTTCCCTACAAGTGAAATCTGATTAAAATGAAAACCGGATAGCTTTAAAGATGCGAAGAAGTAGCCAAAAAGGAAGTGGTATTACAAAAGGGCAAAGCTTAGAGCTGGGTAGAAGGAAGGAAACGGTGCCCTGGTTACCCCGCTCTCCCTCTCCACCCCACCCCTACCCCTCCTTGTATTCTGGTGCTGAACAGAACAAATTGCTGAGTTTATAAAATGTCCTGGCTAGCTATAACCACACACTAGCTTTCACTTTGTGCCTGCTGTCTCTTGGGTGATTTCACCAATCTGGATACCTGGATGTGGAAGCAGCAAAAAGGGGCCCCAAAATAATAGATCCCGGGATACTCCCTCTGCTTCACTCTTTAATGGAGATTGTATCGCTGACCACGTTATTGAATGAGTAGTGTTATTGCTGGGTTTGGGGTTGTTGTTTTTTAATGTATTTTAACTGCTTGGTTTTCTCCCTTTAGATTAACATTTGGAAGACAATGTTATGATCCTTGAGTCACCCGTGGAGTAATGTGGACAGAGGTTCTTGACCTTGCATGTTCTATCGCCCGGAACCAGCAGTGTGTATTAATGTTCACTTAAATCAGAACTTGTATAAGAAAAAGAATGGGAGTCTGGTTAAATAAAGATGACCGGGTTAGAGACTTGAAAAGGGTCATTCTCTGCTTTCTAATAGTGTATATGGCTGTGTTAGTGGACACAGATCAGGATTTTTACAGTTTACTTGGAGTATCCAAAACTGCAAGCAGTAGAGAAATAAGACAAGCTTTCAAGAAGTTAGCATTGAAGCTTCATCCTGATAAAAACCCGGTAGGTAAAATTTTTTTTTTTAACAGTCTCGTTAATGTATATTAGTAACTTGGGATATCTACTTAAATCATATGTGCTCAAAATGCTTAAGAACAATCACATGTTAAAAATTGTAATTCAACTTATATATTAAAAACATAGTAAGCAAAAGTCTGTTTAGAACAATATAAAGACATGTCAGTACCAAAAATGCAATTACCTCTTAATTTGAAAACTAAATTTCCAAAAGTTCTATTACAGATGTTAATTCCAAAGCAGACAGTGTCTGCAAAGTAGTTTTCTTAGTAGGGTAAGATCAAGTATTTTTTTTTTTTAATATTTTATTGATTTTGTACAGAGAGGAAGGGAGAGAGATAGAGAGTTAGAAACATCGATGAGAGAGAGTCATTGATCAGCTGCCTCTTGCACACCCCCTACTGGGGATCTGCCCGTAACCAAGGTACATGCCCTTGACCGGAATCGAACCCGGGACCTTTCAGTCCCCAAGCCGATGCTCTATCCATTGAGCCAAACCAGTCCCGACAAGATCAAGTATTTTAAAACAGTAAAAAAAAAATTATTTTCTTAGAAGTTAGAGAGTATGTCTTGGTAAAAATGGCATGCTATTAATAGCATGCTGTTACTATTTCACTATTTTCTCCCATACACAAGTTTAAGGCCAGAGTCAGGAAGTATTTTAAGTAAAACTTGAGAACAGCCAACTCCAGTTAATTCTAATAATAAATATTTGCTTACGTGTCCCATAATGTAATCTTTCAAAACTGAATTAATTTTAATTCTTATATGTCTATAATTCACCTAATTAATTTTGTTGAGGTTTGATACTCATCAAGGAGAGAGAGGGGTTCTAATTTTCTATTTTCTAGATAGAATTTTTTAAAGGATTATTTTATTTTGGTGGCATTAAGCTGAGCACTAGAATCAGTATTTTTCTAAAACTCTCATTACTTGGTAATCTTTCCCCAGAATCTGTATTCTGCTATTTTAACATGTTTTTATTGATTTTTAGATAGAGAGAAAGGGGGATGGAGAGAAACATCTTATCAGCTGCTTCCTGTATACCCCCTGCTGGGAATCAGCCTGAAATCCAGTCCTGGTCTGTGCCTTGACAAGGGAGTCACACTGGTGACTTCCTGGAGTGGAGGCCAATGCTAAATCCACTGAGCTCTACTGGCTGGACTGTGTTCTATTTATAGGATTTTTATTTTTCTTAGAAATTTCAGAATGCGATTTTTTTTGTTTATTTCCATATGAAAAATGGTTGATCTACAAGTAAGTATTATTTGGATGAAAGCATTCTTCAAAAACTAATTATTGAACCAGTAACAAATAAGGACTATTTCCAATCCAGTTTTAAATTGTTACTCTGATACTAGTTTTTATTTATTAGTAATTATCTGATGAATTGGGGCACGTACTTTTTATTTAGTTAATATATTAGTTTTGCCTCAAATGGCAAAATAACCTACAAATTTCTTTGTAATTGTGTTAGGGGCAACAGATAATACCTAACAATACAAAGGATTTTCAAGGGTTCATAAGTTGGCCTTTTCTCAGTTGCATTTCTTGGAAGTAATGACTTACATTGTATAATCACATCTATCAGACTTTTGAGGCATCAGTTCTCATTTTTCTTATACTTTTAAGATTCACATTCTTGCCGAAACTGTTTTTGGCTCAATGGGTAGAGCTTTGGCCTGCGGACTGAAAGGTCCCGGGTTCGATTCTGGTCAAGGGCATGTACCTTGGTTGCAGGCACATCCCCAGTTGGGGGTGTGCAGGAGGCAGCTGATCAATGTTCCTCTCTCGTTGTTTCTAACTTTCCCTCTCCCTTCCTCTCTGTAAAAAATTAATAAAATATATATATTTTTTAAAAAAGATTCACATTCTTTAAAAATCCTTCTTTATTTCCACCCATGATAACCCACTTCATATTGTACTACTACTCCTTATTTGAATATCTGTTCTCCCAAAAACCTTGGGATTAAATTAAATTTAGATATAGATTCTGAAGATACTTGATTATATATCTGAAATAAGTGTTATATCTAATATTTTTTAATAGAATAACCCAAATGCACATAGTGATTTTTTAAAAATAAATAGAGCGTATGAAGTACTCAAAGATGAAGATCTGCGGAAAAAGTATGACAAATACGGAGAAAAGGGACTTGCAGATAATCAAGAAGGAGGCCAGTATGAAAGCTGGAATTTTTATCGTTATGATTTTGGTAAGATAATATACCTTATGAAATGATTGTTTTTTATTTGGATAAATTTAGAAAATTAATTTTGTTTCATCACGTAGCTTATGTAGTTAATACGTTTTGCCTTGACTCTTTTTAATGTAACAGGAGTGTAATTCAAAAGAAAAATCAGGTGGTAGCTGAACAAATATGAAGGTATTTGGATCACAATCTTGTTAAATATTTGTAAAATAAGGTTTGCTCTTTAATTTAAAAATACTTACATTAGAAGTTAAATATTGAAGCTTTTCAAGATTTTTAGAACAAGCATCATATTTTCCAAGAAAAGCTATTAATAGTTTCTTTTAAGTTTAATAGTGGTCACTTCAGTAGAAATGCCATCTTGAATGTTGTACAGTGTTGACAGGAATAAGAAATGAGACAAGAGCAGAGATGGTAAACAAGTTTAAAAAATCAAGGGAAAGCCCAGCTGGCATGGCTCAGTGGTTGAGTGTCGACCTATGAACCAGGGAGTCACAGTTTGATTTCCCCACAGGGCACATGCCAGGTTGTGGGTTCAATCCCCACCGAGGGCTGTGTAGGAAGCAGCCAATCAGTGACTCTCTCATCATTGATGTTTCTCTCCCTCTCCATTCCTCTCTGAAATAAAATATATATATATGTATGTATGTGTATATATATATATATATATATATATATATATATATGTATTTTTTTTAAATCAAAGGAAAGTGAGAATAAGCAGGTATCAAGGCAAGAGGGAACTTTCAAGTACCTAATATTTCTCGTAAATCATTAACCTCAAATGTAGGCTAAGAATTGAAGTATGCCTTTATATTCAACTAAAGACTATTTTCAATTTATAACTATTATATATGTTTCTTAAGACTAACTTTCTTTTCAAAGTATTATTTTCAGGTATATCACTACAGCATGATAGCCTATTTCAGGTGTCAGCAATTTACATTTCACAGTCTAAATCTAGCCTGCCACCTATTTTTGTAAAGTTTTATTGAATACAGGCATACCTCATCTCATTGGGATTCACAGGTCTTGCGTTTTTTTACAAATTAAAGGCAAGACCGTCCACCAGCAAAAAGATTACACCTGCCTTTGATCCTGCCTTTATTGTGGTCTGGAACCAAAACACAGTATTTCTGAGCTATGCCCAAACAGTTAGGTTCATTTATTTATGCGTTATCCGTGGCTGCTTTCACACTTCAGGTGCAGGATTGAGTAGTCGTGACAGAAATTATATTTCCCACAAAGCCTGAAATAGTTACCAACTGGCCTCTATAAAAAAAGTTTGCTGACCCTTGGTCTATATCCATCACTAGTATTATTTGGATGTTTCATAATAGTGAGAAATTTTATTGCATTGATTTTTATTGTAAATAAAAATTTATATTTACTTAATAAGTTTGTCTCTACCTCTGTAAATATTTTAATTATAAAACTTTCAGCCATAGAATATAATTTTAAATGATGCCACTTATTAAAAACATATAACTGAAAAAATAAATGAGGACTGTAGTCTAGTTAACAGTAATGTACCAGTGCCAATTTCCTGGTTTGGATATTGTTCTAAAATTATATAACATGTTAACTAGGGGAAGCTTGGGGAAAAGATAAATGAGAGTCTGTACAACTATTTTAAAAGAAAAAGTTTTTAAAAAATAATAGGAATTTGCAGTGAAGATAAAATTTTGTGAATATTGGGAACCCAACAAACACACACACCTATGACAATCTAAATCAGAAACTTAATATCTCGATCACTCTTTAAAGGTATCACCAGCGGTTTTGTGTACTCTTGGTCTCTCAGTTTGTTGCATATTTTTCAACTTTGAGGTTTAGTAATCTGGTTTTTGATGATTAAAACAAAAGTAAGTAATCTATTTTAAGTGTGGCAATTTACTTTTATGATGAAGTTTTAATTTTATAATTTTTATGTACTTTTAATGTAGGTATTTATGATGATGATCCTGAAATCATAACATTGGAGAGAAGAGAATTTGGTAAGTTTATGGTATACAGTTATAATCAACTTTCCTTCCGTTGTCTTAATGAACTTTAATGACTTCACTGTGCAATAGCTACAATTATTCCTCACATTTTACAGCATCATATGAAATGAAACCTCTATGCCTCATATGAATTGAAACATCTATGCATGTGTGTTTGTGTATGATTGACACATTTGAAATTATAACCAAGATAATTTTATTCTACATCATTATTTTTTATATTATTAAAATATTTTTACAACATTTTAGATTATGTTAAGTGAAAAAGATCCTAAAACGAAATTGTATATGCAGTGTAATACAAATCATGCAAAAGGCCAAAGAACAATTGATAAAATTCTAAATTATACACCTTGTCTATAATGTATGGTGTTAAACTGTTCTTCTCATAGGTTTTTGTGTCTTGTAATTGAAATGTAGGTAAATATTGAGTCCTGCACATTTTACTAATTAACCTAAATCAGTTACACAATAGTATGCATGTTTTGATGTCTTAATATACTTCCTATAACTATGAAACTTTATTTAAAAATTCACTGATTTTGATGTGGAATTACATGAAAACTTTAGACAAAAGCAAATTGTCTTCACCTTTTTATCTTATAAATGTTACATTGTTAAAAATTTTAGATGAATAAATGTTGACTTACATAAAATTACTATATATATGAAAAATAGAAAATATGCTAATTAACTGGGATGCTGTAATGGGTTGACCCAACAGGAGGAGGTTGTACACGCAGTGTCAGGGGCAGGGTGGCAGGGCCTCTGCCTGCCTGCACTGGGGAGGTCCTGATCCGCAGAGGCCACTGCTGCTTCAGGGGCTGGAGAGGGAGGCAGGGCCCGGGGAGGGAGACAGGGCTGGACCAGCGACTTGAGGGTGGTTGCTGCTGAGCTATTTCGAATCACGTGCTGGGCTCCTAGTAATTATAATGTATAATATATTGTTGGCTAGACATTATGTGGTGTGCAAATCTATTATTTTACAAAATAAGTATTTTTTTTGAATTGTTAAAAATCTTGATACTTTTCAAATAATGGCAGTTTTTCACGGGAAATGTTTGAAGGCAAAGATTAAATTGAATCCCAGAGTCCTTACTACATCAAATAGACCTCTTATTCCATTCTTTCAGAATTTGAAATAACTGTCAGAATTGATTGGCTCCATGTTTACCTTATGCTGCAGATAGGAAAAGAGCTTAAAACTCAGTTCATTCTCTTACTGTTTTCTTCATTTCTCTCATCCATGAGCTTTGGGTGTTGCTTCCTTTCTTTTTACAGCTTCATGGTGAGATGGTATCAAGCAGTTCGAGGCTGCTGCTTGCACAAGTATGGCTTCGAAGAGTTTCTTTAAAAAGGTATTATTTGACAGTTGAAGTACATTTTCTTACAGAAAAAAATTGTACAGAAAGTTATTGGTGAAGGCAGTATGAAAGATGTATGACTTTCTTTCTGATCTCAACAAAAAATTTTTAACCCAACTATGCACAAACCTCAGTGACTAGTTCTAAGTTGTTTTGGTTTCATATACTTTCAGATGCTGCTGTTAATTCTGGAGAGCTGTGGTTTGTGAACTTCTACTCCGCAGGCTGTTCACACTGCCATGACTTAGCTCCTACGGTATGTATTTTTTACATCCCAATTACTAAAGTTTTACTATTTCTAATTGATCTGTTATTTGAGTTTTTTAATATATTGGAATTTTCCTATTAATGGCAATTTTATCTATCAGTAGTGATTATGTATGTTCACATATTTGTGGTTTTATTTGCTAAAAATAGTCTTTTAAGTATTTATAGCTTGAAGAATGCTCAAGAGAAGTGTCCAGAGAAATAGTTGTTTCCTTTTTTCTCGTAGTGGAGAGACTTTGCTAAGGAAGTGGATGGGTTACTTCGAATTGGAGCCGTTAACTGTGGCGATGATAGAATGCTTTGCCGAATGAAAGGAGTGAACAGTTATCCCAGCCTCTTCATATTTAGGTCTGGAATGGTAAGGGATAAAGTTAGCATTTTTTAAACTTGGGGAACTTTATGATAAGGAAAATACTAGAGAAAGTACAGTATGAGAACTTATAGAATGCTTTGATATTTAAGTTTTATTTTAGGTACTAACCCATCTCTAGTCATAATGAACATTTTGAGTATTACAAATACTTTTAGATACCATTACAGTTGACTTGGAATAATAACATAGAGGTTAGTGGCACCTATAAAAAAAATGCGAAGCCTGACTGGTGTGGCTCAGTGGTTGAGTGTCGACCTATGAACCACAGGTCATGGTTTGATTCCTGGTTAGGGCACATGCCCATCCCCAGTAGGAGATGTGCAGGTGGCAGCTGGTCCATGATTCTCATCATTGATGTTTCTCTCTCCCTCTCCCTTCCTCTCTGATATCAATAAAACAAAAACAAATTTTTTTTTAAATGTGTGTAACTCAAGTGAGCGGTCTGCATACACAAATTCCCAATCTCCAGTCGACCCTTCACAGTAGTTTGAACATCAGACAGTTAAAAACTGGGCCATTTGAAAAATTCCAAGTATAAGTGGACCTGGGCAGTTCAATCCACATAATTAAATGGTCAAATGATGACTTTCAAAATTAAATGTTCGCCAATTTCTGTTTCTTAACATAGTATAACCAATATGCATATTCTACTTTATAGTTTACAGAGTATTTTCAGGTATTGTCTCATTGAATATAAAATTCTGATGTCCTTTTTCCCCCCAGTTTTAAGTGATAAAACTGAAACAAAAATCATAAATAATATTAAAAATGTCTTCCTTGAATTCTATACAATCAAGATTTTCAGCATATCAGTTGGAAATACGTTGTATGTTAAGAGACATCTTACTGTATTTTTTAAAATAATGTAGAATCAAAAGTATTCTTTATAGTGGCGTTTTTAAAAGAAAAAGTAAGCATATTTCCCTTTTTATTAAAAAAAACAATAGGCTGCAGTGAAATACCATGGTGACAGATCAAAGGACAGTTTAGTGAGCTTTGCCATGCAGCATGTCAGAAGCACTGTGACAGAATTGTGGGCAGGTAATTTTATTTTCTTAATTTGCTTGATTTTTAAGGATACTTTGAAATTTATATTTTAAGTTTTTCAGCGGCAGTATTAATATTTTGGTCATAATATTAAAATTTTAAAGTACTTTTTTGATGCTTTTAGAAGGGAATTGTGTCTTTTGTTCTGACCACTACTAAATAGTAGGCATTTAACAAATGAATTGTATGTGTACAGAAACTAAAGCAATTAAGATATGGGAAATAGATGTGAGGTGGGGCTAGAGCAGCATTTCTCAACCTTTCTAATGCCTCAACACTTTAATACAGTTCTCATGTTGTGGTGACCTCCAACCATAAAATTATTTCGTTGCTACTTCGTAACTGTAATTTTGCTACTGTTAATGAATTGTAATGTAAATATATTTGTTTTCCAATGGTCTTTACATTCAGGAACAGTAGCAAAATTTGGGGAACTGGCAGTATTTCATGACTCTTAACAGGAGGATGTGTAATGCATGGGAAGGAATATGGCTGGCTGATGGGGTAGATATTACCAATTTGAGCTTCCTGGTGAAATAATGAATTTACATTTTATGTGTTGGGGAAAAAATGGAGCACTGGTGAATGAATTTTACAAACTCATTTTTAGAAAATCCTCTCTACTCAGAATGGATTGGAAGAGGGTGAAATTAGGAGAGGGGAAAAAAGCATTTAGAAAACTGTTTTCATTATTAACAAGTGATCAGAAATTTGCTTTATTTTCTTTTAAGGAAATTTTGTTAATGCCATACAAACTGCTTTTGCCTCTGGTATTGGCTGGCTGATAACGTTTTGTTCCGAAGGAGGAGGTAAGTTATTCATTATTTTATTATGAAGAGACTGTGACATATAATTTTTAAATGACAATCTTTTTTTACTTTTTCAGCTTTATTAAGATATAATTAAATAGCATTGTGTAACTTGAAGGTGTTCAACATGTTGATTTGATACATTTAACAAAATGATTACCACCGTAGCATTAGCTACCATCTCCATCTTGTTAAATAATTGCCATGATGTACTCTCTGAGCAACTTTCAAGCATATAGTAAACTATTGTTAGCTATAATCATTATATGTTGTACATTAGATCCTCAAGACTTGCTAATCTTATAACTGGAAGTATGTACCCTTAGACTAGGTGACTATCTTGAGTATGCTACTATAATTGATTGTTCACTTCAAACTACAATTTATATACAAGGTTGTAATTTTTTACTTAAGAAATATTTTTATTTCTATTTTACACATAAAAAGTTTTTAAAGTATTGTTTATGGTTTCTGTTCAGTGGGCAAATTTTCAGCCTAATTATATTTACAGTAAATGGTATGTTCAGATAGTCACAGATGTACATATTTATCAGTTTGCAAAAATAGTCATTTACAGATACAGTCCTCTCAAAATAATAATTTTTGGAGTTATTGACTTTACCTCATACTTATACATATAAATATGTGTACATGTTTACCTTATATTTTTGAAGATGACAACTTCCTATTTATAGGAACCTTTCCCTCTGTAGATTAAGGTGAAAATACCCTACCTGTCAAACCACAAACTGTAAAATGTATTTAAGCAATTTGATTGGTTAAAAATTGGTCCCAGTATTACAAAATATTCTAATTCAGCCCTTGGCATGGCTCAGTGGTTGAGTGTTGACCTATGAACTAGGTCACAGTTTGATTCCAGGTCAGGCCACATGCTCAGGTTGCTGGCTCCATCCCCAGTAGGGGATATACAGGAGGCAGCCAATCCATCTCTTGTCATTGATGTTTCTGTCTCTACCTCACTCTCCCTTTCTCTCTGGAATCAATAAAAATATTTTAAAAGAAAAGAAATACTCTGATTCATTAATATTTTTTCATATGTTTAATCCCAACATGAATCTTTTCCTGAAACTTAATCTCATAGTCTTTATGCTGCCATGTTAAGGAGGTATTGCCTTGAAAATAAAATCACCCTTAAATTTAGTCCATCCTTGAGGAGTTTATTCATTTTGGCCTAATGTACAAATTTTTGTCCATTTATTTACACATGAAAAAAACTCTTAAAATTAGAGATTCTACATATCTCTGTAGGCTCTGTGATGCTATAGGCTCCCTTCAAAGTTATCTCATTTAGTGTTAGTATTTATATTTACAGAACTTTTATAAAAATAATGAAGAGGCTATTTTATCTTATTTTAAGGATTTTTTACATAATTTTTATTTAAAAAAAGTTTATTACATGTTATTTCTCCACAGTTGTGAGATATCTAAGGTAAAGGGAATTATTGATCAGAGAAATTTGAGAGTCAGATCCTAAAGGAATGCTTGAGAGAAAATTACCCCTTTTCTCTTTAGCTGGAAATCCTAGGTATCTAAGGGGAATAAAAGAATGAGTGAGTGAGAGTGGTAATGTGTATGTAGAATGAAACTTTGACCGCAGCAGTTATCTAGTGAATAAAGATTTCAGTATTTACCAATAGAGCTCAAATAACTGCCTTAGAATCAGCATGATAGCTTTGTGAAAAGGCAATGGAGGTATACACTCAAAAGAGCTATTTTTTTCCTTCCAGATTGTTTGACTTCACAGACACGTCTCAGGCTTAGTGGCATGTTGGTAAGCACGAATTATTTTGTAAGACTACTAGCATATAGCCATGTCAAAAAATAAAAAAACACCACACACACACATTTAAAAATGGATTCTAGATATTGTCTTTGGTAGTTTTTTGAACATTTAACTTGCTTATTTGTAACCTTTCTTATTTTCTGATAAATGTAGTCATAGTTGTAGGTTTCTAATAATGAACTGTTTTCAGTCATTTTGGCATGTGGTGCTTTCATTGTCGTTCACTACTAAGTATTCTTTAATTATGAAGTCTTTTTTAACCAGCGTTATATATCAGTGTTTTTATCATTTCCAAACTTCATTGTTTTGTTTGTTATTTTGTTATTTAGTTAGCTCGCATCATACAATGTTTGGGTAAGTAGTCTTTGTTTTTGATACTTTGTTGTTGAAGCTCCCTTTGTGGGGAAACTTGGTCTTCCATTTGGCCTTTGTTTTTATTGTTTTTTCTTTCTATTTTAGGATGGTCTTGTTAATGTAGGATGGATGGACTGTGCCACCCAGGCCAACCTTTGTACAAGTTTGGATATAACAACAAGTTCTACCGCCTATTTTCCTCCTGGAGCCACTTTAAATGACAAAGAGAAAAGCAGTGTTTTGGTATGACTCATTTTTATTTCTTTGAATGCACACACTTAAATATGTTGTTTGTAATCAAAGAATAAGAAAATGAATCAGTTTATATCATCTGAATTTGGAACGTTTAATAATCTAGAACAAATTTAATTTCTGGGATTCTGTTTAATACATTCTTCCGTTTATAAAGTCTGTTATAAGAATTATTTTTAACTGATATAAACTATTATATTAATATTTTCAAACCCCAAAGGTATGGAATACATTCTTAGGTTAAATGAATTTTCATTAGTTTCCATTTATTTATATATTTTCTGATGTTAAAATACAGGTCATTGGTCGGTTTGGCTGGAACCCAGTATTTATTTTTTTAAGCACCTGTTAGATTCTGGTGTAAACTCAGCGCAGAGGTCTACTGGTATGGTTCACTCTCTACTTTTAAGAATGAAGAAATTGAGGGTCAAGCTAGTTATCAAGGAGTTGAGATATAAATAATGAGATATCAGACAAGTTTCTAAGAAACTCCAAAAGAAAAGACTCAAATAAAAAATTAACTTTCTTAATTTTCTTTTCTGTAAATTCTTTTTTTGATGTTGATAAACAGACATATTCATTACAGAAATTTATATATAGTAAAGAAATGTTTAAAAAAAAGATGTAAAATTCACTGAAACCAAATTACCAATAGACCAGTACCGTCAAATTTTGGTGACTATCCTTCCAGATCTCTGCTTAGGTGTGCATACAATTAGGACTTGGTGCTGACAACTCTTCGGTTTTTTCTGTGGCCTAGGTCTCTGCCCTCCACTCCAGACTGCATTCTACTGCTGCACTCTTTATTATAGTAACAGCTGCTTCATTGAGAATTAGGCCACCGGATAGTTCTGTGAGAAAAATATGCTAAGGATGAAATATGGGCAGAAGTAAAGGAGATGTGTTAGAAGGAAGGTGTGGCTTCTTCAGTTATTTGTTTGTGTTTTAAATGAGACCTAGATCTAAAACACATTTAAAATAAGATCTTTACCAGTATAAATTTACTCTGCAAAACTCATAGGTAGTTTGGTTTTTTGAACATTATTTCTAAAAACCTCTATAATGTGCCTTTTCATTTTCTAGTTATAAGTTCTTAATTCCTATTGATTATTGATTGGGGTATGAAGTGTCATGGATCATCAAATACTCTCTAGTGTTTTAACAATTCTTAAATAATGGGTAAAACATTGGCGTCCTGTATGAAACATGGTTAGCATTAACATTGAACTGAACATAAGATAGCACTTTCCTCATGATGCAGTTACTCCAGGATGTGGTGGGGATTATTGTAGAACACACAGAACAGTTAATGGACAAGTCCAGGCAACAAAACACCTAATAATGAAATTTGTCTTACATAACTTTTTTTTAAAAACAACAACCCAGTTATACAATTTTTAATAATTGCCAAAATATAATACTTTTTTTTTTAAAGATAACATTTAGAATAAACAGCCTGAAAACTATTTAACTTCTGTGACTTTTTTCCTTAAAAGTTCTTCTGTGGAAACAACAACAAAAAAGACACTAAAGTAGATGGATGTTGACTTAAAAAAAATTACAATATGATTCTCTTATTCTAGTTTCTTAATTCATTGGATGCTAAAGAAATATATTTGGAAATAATGCATAATCTTCCAGATTTTGAACTACTTTCGGCAGACACACTAGAGGTAATATTTTTATAATGATAAATAACATTGCTAACATTTCAAGTCTTAATAGTTTAGCCAACATTTGATTTATTCATCACTAGAGAGAAAGTACGTAGTAGTTTCAAAGGATTATATATCAGTCAATTTTAGGTTAAACTCCAGTTGCTGGAGCTGCTGGTGGCACAGGGAGGATCTGTAGTTTTGTAAAACTTAACCAGTCCTGCCGGGACCGGTTTGGCTCAGTGGATAGAGCGTCGGCCTGCGGACTGAAAGGTCCCGGTTACGATTCCGGTCAAGGGTATGTACCTTGGTTGCGGGCACATCCCCTGTGGGGGGTGTGCAAGAGGCGGCTGGTCGATGTTTCTCTCCCATCGATGTTTCTAACTCTGTCCTTCTCAATTCCTCTGTGTAAAATCAATAAAATATATTTTTAAAAAAAAACAAAAAAAAACTTAACCAGTCCTAAAGGGCTTCAGGAATGTCATAAAAGCAAGATTTTGATCACAAAGCCACTTTGGATCCGATTTGAAACTTTATGTTCTTGCTTACAGAACTATTTATATTATTCAGTGAGTAATTAAGAAGCAGCTTCTGAAATACTTATAGTAGAATCAATTGTCTACTTTAACATTTTAAAATGTAGTGACTTTTATCCTTCCGTAATCTTATATAATTGATTTACATGGCATTATCCCAAATAAACTACAAAATAAAATATGGATGTGCCTGAATTTTTGACATTATTTTGAAGTAATAGTTAGGATTATTAAAATTAACTATAAGAAAATAAAAAGAAATATTAGAACTCAGAAATATTTACTTCCTGTCTCACATTTCTTTTTAACTTTTTAAATTACTTTTAAGGATCGTTTGGCTCATCATCGATGGCTCTTATTTTTTCATTTTGGAAAAAATGGAAATTCAAATGATCCTGAGTTGAAGAAACTAAAGACTCTACTTAAAAATGAACATATTCAAGTAAGAAAAATGTCTTCTGCCCAGCTTTCTGCTACTATGTTTTCTTATTAATTTAATACATGAAGTTATATTTTAAATAACTGGTTTTCTTCCACAATGTATGAAAATGTCAGCCTTTTTCTTTATTATCTGCTTCTGGGGTCTCACATGAAAAGGTTTCTTTCTCCCCACCTCAAGATTATATAAATATTCTCTACATTTTTAGAAGGGTGGCTTTCTTAAACTTTATATTATCTTGGAAATTTCTTGTCAGGTTTGTTAACTTTCTGGGAGTTTTTTTTTGTGTGTGTGTGTGTGTGTGTGTGTGTGTGTGTGTGTGTGTTTTAGTGTTAAATGTAAATTATTTTTATCTCTCTTATTTATAGCCTATTAACTTCTGTTTAGAAACTTGTTAAAGCAATGTCATTTTGTGATTACCCTTATGAATGTTTAATTGATTGGATAAGATTTCATTTTCATCTAATTAAACTTTCTCTTTCTGCTTTAGATTGGCAAGTTTGACTGTTCTTCTGCACCAGATATCTGTAGCAATCTCTATGTTTTTCAACCATGTCTAGCAGTATTTAAAGGACGAGGAACCAAAGAATATGAAATTCATCATGGTAAGGAGAAAAAAATGATAAAAATGTAACCTCATTTTCAAATAGTACAGGCATAGAGATATTGTGGGTTGGGTTCCCGATCACCACAATAAAAAAAAAAATTGAAACCTTTTTGATTGTTGGAGGTTCTTGCCTTCATTTTGTAAAAATGCAACATCTGCCAGGACCAGTTTGGCTCAGTGGATAGAGCGTCGGCCTGCGGACTGAAAGGTCCCGGGTTCGATTCTGGTCAAGGGCGTGTACCTTGGTTGTGGGCACATCCCCAGTAGGGGGTGTGCAAGAGGCAGCTGATCGATGATTCTCTCTCATCTATGTTTCTAACTCTCTATCCCTCTCTCTTCCTCTCTGTAAAAAATCAATAAAATATGTATTTTTAAAAAAAAATGCAACATCTGTGCCTGGCCAGCATGGCTCAGTGGTTGTTGAGCAGAGACCGATGATCCAGGAGGTCACGGTTTGATTCCCGGTCAGGGCACATTGCCTGGGTTGCGGCCTCAAATCCCCAGAGTGGGGCATGCAAGAAGCAGCCAATTGATGATTCTCATCATTAATGTTTCTCTCTCTCTCTCTTTTCTCTGAAATCTATAAATTAATATACTTTTAAAACAACATCTGTGATACGCAATAAAGCAAAGCCCAATGAAACAAGGTTTGACTATAATTTTTAATTTTATTTTTTACCTTGTATTATATGGACACATGTATAATTTATCTTAATAAATTTGTTTCTTGTGAGGAAAGACATTTTTAACTATGTTTAGTTATTTTATACTCTTGACTGTTGATCAGTGTTTCAGCAAGAACTGTTGTGACAGGTTAGGCTAGGGGGGAATTTAAGGATCTTGCTTGTTGACCAAAGTAGCATCTATAGTGTTCATTCCAGTTTACCAAATGTAGCATCTCAACCATTATGAGTAATTTTCAGACATTCTTTTAGATGTTTCCTCCACTAGACTACCAAGCATCTCCATTGACTGCTTTGTCATCTTCCTTGAATTTATAATCACATTTATAATATAATTTATAATTACATTACAGCTTGTTTGGGACTGCAGCTCTACATTCATGTAAGCAAAGTTCCAGTTCCTAGGGTTTGGGATGCATCACAGTCTCTCTCCTGAAAAGGTGAAATGTAGCAAGAGACAAGCAAACTACTAACTATCACAGTGAATAACAGATACTAACATTGTGCCTGTGTTAGGTGTTAGGAATGCAAAGTTGTAAGACATGGACTTGACTGTCAAGAAGCTTAAAATCTCTAGTACAAGTGAGAAGAAAGAGATCTATAAGCAAATATGAAAAACAATGTAATAGTCATTATGTATAAATTAATAAAATCAAAGAGACTTTTGCATAGTATAAGTTAAGAGGTGATATTTGAATTCAGGTGGCATTTGAATGCTCAGTTTCCCAAAGCAAATACAGAAGAATGAGAAGTGAGTCCCTTTAGGCCAGGAGTCCTCAAACTTTTTAAAATGGGGGCCAGATCACGGTCCCTCAGAGAGCTGGAGGGCCGGACTATATGAACTACTAATTCCTACTGTAACACCTCAGCTGCGCTCACTGCCCAAAAAACCTGGCGGGCCGGATCAGACTCCTCTGCGGGCCGCATGTGGCCCGCGGGCCGTAGTTTGAAGACGCCTGCTTTAGGCCATAGGAACTGTGTGAACAAAGGCTTGCTTGGCAAGGTAACCAGTAGGAACGACTGTTTATTCTGTACTTTTTTATGGCAAACATTTTTCTAAAGATTTTGCATACTTACGTATTTTCATTTTTTATCTTCACAACAGTCCTGCAAGGGAGAAAATTGAGGCTCAGAAAGGCTAAGTAACTTTGCCTATGGCAAAAACCAGTAATTGGTCAAGTAGATTTTGTATTCAAATACAATTGTCTCCAAAGCGTAGGCTTATAGTTCACTAAATGCTACCTCCTTAAAGTGCTAGAAATGACCAGGTTTTAATAATGGAGTTCTGTTCTTTTTTTTACCTCTGAAATATTTATGACTCCTCTTCATTTCTGTGCTTGCTGCCTTATTTCAGATCTGCCAGAGAACCAACTCCACCATGTAATAATTACAAGAGTTCCGTCAAAAGGTTGATGGGACTTGGGGGGCTCAACAAGGGTGAGCCACATAAGTAATTTACCTGTTGGAAAAGGCTAAGGCACTTCCCCCAAACCTGAATAGGATTATTGTTAGCTGCCAGACAGCTCAGGGCATTTTATTGCTCCTGTTGGCCAAACACCTGAACAGCTGTAGGCTATTCCCCAAACTGATAATGCTTCTGTATCCTTTGATAACTTACCCTTTGAAGTGTTTATTTCCACCTTGCCTTGGGACAAATTGTGTTAGAATAAAAGCACCAGTCCTTGGTCAAGGTAAGTGTCTTTAGTTCCTTTTAGCTGAAGCTCCTCTGACCCCCAGTGCCTTTCAAAACTATCTTTCATCCTTAATCGTCTACGTGTAGCCGTTTCTCCAGAATGCTAAACCCTTTGTAAGGCTAGGAAAAGAACTCCAGCACAGATCCATCATGTACTATATCATCCTCTGATAGTTTTCCATTTCATAGCCTTTCTTCTTTATTGTTGGTTATTGGTTTTATTTGCATTTATTGCCCTAGAATAGTGGTTGGCAATGTTGAGATTTCTTTTGAGAGCCAAATTTTTTAACCTTAAACTTCTTCTAATGCCACTTCTTCAAAATAGACTCACCCACACCGTGGTATTTTGTGGAAGAGCCACACTCAAGGGGCCAAAGAGCTGCATGTGGTTCACGAGTCACAGTTTGCTGACCACGACCCTAGAATATCTAAAACATTCTCATGTCACTTTTCTGCCTTGACTGCTGATTTCTTTTAAAATAAAGTTCAGATTTCTTAGCATAGAAGCAATGACTTTGTCTGTTTTGCTTACCACTCTTATTTCCAGCACCAAGAATGGTTGGTAAATTAACAATATACATTCACAATCTGCCTCTGATGGCTCTTTCAGCCTCATCTGTACCCTTCCAAATGTAGCTCCAGCTACTTGTGGATCCATGAAAATATGTTCTTCCACACCTCTGTGCCTCCATATAAAATTTTTCTTCCTCCTGCATTGTAATCATTCCTTCTTGCTCTTCCAAATACAGGGGTGGGTAGGTTTATACTTGTGAGTATATGAAACAGAGTTTATTCTTGTATTATTTACTAATATATTAATTTCCGTACAAACGTGTTTTTATAGATAAAAGGCAGAATATGGATTTTAACTTTTCTCTTACTCAATTTCAAAGGGAAGAAGATTCTCTATGATATACTTGCCTTTGCCAAAGAAAGTGTTCATTCTCATGTTACCACACTTGGACCTCAAAATTTTCCTGCCAATGACAAAGAACCATGGCTTGTTGATTTCTTTGCCCCTGTAAGTTATTTTTATCTGTCAAAATTGAATATTGTCAGATTTTCTTTTGTTACAGCAAAAAGACATTTTCTAGATAACCTTGAATCATGGATACGGTTTGGCTACAACCACATATTGTATCTAAGAGAGCACTGATGTACTTCCCTCTAAGGATTAAGTATATACAAGCATAAGATTTGCAACTAAGTGTCGTTTGTCTTTTTTAAATTGCTTGTTGGAAAAATTATGTAAGTTTTTGTTATTCATTTTATTTGGCTCAGTACTTATGAATATTTTTTCTTTTGTAGTGGTGTCCACCATGTCGAGCTTTATTGCCAGAGTTGCGAAAAGCATCAAAGCATCTTTATGGTCAGCTTAAATTTGGTACACTAGATTGTACAGTTCATGAGGGACTTTGTAACATGGTAAGGCAAAGTATTAAAAGTGTTTTTTAATTAATCTGATATTAAAATAACCTTTTCAAAAATACATCTACATTTAGAATAGTAATTGTTTAAACCAATAACTTCAACAAATTATGGATTAAAATATAGTATATGTAGTTAAGTGTAGATATAGACTTATTTATTAAACTCAAAAATATTTAGTTGACTTGATAAAATATATGATTTTTAAATTATTTAAGATCTTTATATTTTTTAACTTAATATTTCCTTTTGGCAGTCGATAGCTTTATTCTTTGGCTTTCCTTGTAATTGGATAGCTAGTAGAAGGAAATTAAAATGAATAAGATATTAAGTTAATTTTCACTCTTCACTTTTAAAAAGTACTAGAAATTAATATACCTCATGATGAAAGTATACAATGCCCCCTATAAAATATTCTTGGAAAAAATTTAAATGAAGTCATCGGCTCTATTAATGTATTGAAGGACAGATTAAGTGACAACATGGGTGTGCAATTTGCAAATCCCAGCATGTAGAGGACTTTATAAGACAAAGACCCAGTTTATTGGACACATTTATTAAAAGGGGAAGAAGATTAAAGACTTAGAAGACATGCCATTCAAATGTAACTTTAGTCTTCCTGTGGATGCAGTTTAAGCAAACCCAACTGCAAAAACAAAGAGCAAACTGAGGAAATTTAAACTGATAGGATATCTAATGATTTTTAGGAATTGTTAATTTTTATATATGAAAATGATAATGTGGTTATATTTTGGGAAATATATGTTTTTAATATACTGAAATATTTCTGAATGAAATGATAAGTCATCTGGAATTATCTTTAATCTTGGAGTAGGGTAGAGTGGGAGGAAGTATAGAGAAATTAAAAGTAGCCATGAGGCCTGGTCACAGTGGCTCAGTGGTTGAGTGTTGTCTCATGAACCAAGAGATCACAGTTTGATTCCTGTTCAGGGCACATGCTTAAGTTTCAGCCTTGATCCTCAGTAGGGGACATGCAGAAGGCAGCCAATCAGTGCTTCTCTCTTCTCAATGCTTCTGTCTCTCCCTTCCTCTCTCTAAATAATAAAACATATTAAAAATAAATTAAAAAGCCTTTGGGTAAATGATTGTTGTAGTCCCAAGAGTGCATGAGACTTTATTGTTCTGTTTTTGTATTTTAAATCAAAATTTATAAAAACTAAAACTTTTAAAAAGATAAATGGAAGTGAATGTAGGATGAAATGTTTTTTATGACTTCTGTGTGAGGACTAATTTCTCCACACACTAAAACTAAATATAAAAATCAATGAATATGAATGAATTTGACTACATTAAATGTAAAAACTGTTACCAAAGAGACACTATAAAGTTAAGGGAACAGGCTGCACATAAAACTGACAAAGCCAGAATATTTAAAGACAATAAATCAAATTTTTTTAAAGTTTACAGATATCACAAAAGAAGAAACGCACCAAACATTAAAAATGTTCATTTAAATTAAGTTCAGGGGAGTAAAAAGGGACCAAGCTCATAATTATCCGTACTCCCTTGTATTTGATGCCTATGGATTTTATGTCTTACTAGTAGCCCTGGGCACGAATCTGTGCACCAGTAGCTTTCTGCAGGGCCTGGCCACTCCACGCCTGCTGCCCAGAGGACCTTCACGGTCCAGAGGCCCTCCATGGCAACAAAGCAAGCATTCTGCCAGGCCACTCTCAGCAGCTACCTTCCCCCGGGGATGAGGGGACTCCTGCAGGGCCGAGAGGACTGGGCGCCACCATCTTTGTGACAGAGTGACAGTTAATTTGCATTTTACCCTTTTATTAGATAGGATGTAGTAGGCGGTACCTGTAAATAAGGATTAGGTATTCATCAGTACAATTGTGATTCCAATTCTTTTGCAAATTTTGTCTAGGCTAAAATTTTTTAGTCACCAGCAATTTAGCAATGGGTCTTTTAAATCGTATTACTTAAAGGCAAACTGGTTATAAATTTTTTTAATATATTTTATTGATTTTTTTACAGAGAGGAAGGGAGAGAGATAGAGAGCTAGAAACGTCGGAGAGAGAGAAACATCGACCAGCTGCCTCTTGCTGCCTTTTGCAGCCTTTTGCACACACCCTACTGGGGATGTGCCCACAATCAATGCACATGCCCTTGATCGGAATCGAACCTGGGACCTTTCAGTCCGCAGACTGACGCTCTACCACTGAGCTAAACTGGTTTCGGCAAAACTGGTTATAAATTTGAAACAAACTGGTTAAATGTATAAAGCCATGTTAATTTGTCTTCTCATTCTTAACAGTATAACATTCAGGCTTATCCAACAACAGTGGTGTTCAACCAGTCCAATGTTCATGAATATGAAGGCCATCACTCTGCTGAACATATCTTGGAATTCATAGAGGTATTTAAGTTAATTCTGTAATATTATAAAATATAGAAGTAAGTTATTTTAAGTTCATGGCTGTAAATCCTTCTCTGTGTGTATACTCTTTGTATAAATATTTAATCATGTTTAATAACAGGATTTATTCTCATACCAACACATTTTCTGACAAGAAAATGAATTTCTTATATTTTTCTAATGTTTTATTCTTATATACTTACTATAGACTCTAAGAATAAGTCTGTATTTTGTTTATTATCTAGTTCAGTGCCTTGTACTTAGTGGGCACAACTATTTCTTGAATACATTGAAATTATATTTTCACATAAAGCTTTGCACCCCCTCTCCATGTTATCTCAGCTAGAACCGCCACACCTTCTTTTAGGTCCATCCATATAGATGAGGTAGGCGTAACCTCAGTATCATCCAGGAAATGTAAGGGCAGTCCAGTCAACCCCCAGTGGAGGGCCTCTTTCAAGCCTGGGCAGCTGTGCCACACCCGTTATCAGCACAGAAGTGTCCTATATCTATAGCATCTCCTTTTTCCCCCAGTAATAATATTAATTGACTAAAGTAGTTAAACGGGTTTCTTAAGAATGAAAAAATTTAGCCTATTATTTATGTAGTTACCATTCTCTGACCTTTTCTCTCCCTCCTCCTCTAGAATAATAGTTTTTGATTTTGTGTTGTTTTGATTTTTGAGTTTTCCCCCAGTGAAGCTAACATCTTTGTTAACATTACCCAATCATGATAGACTAAAGTCTTATTAAAACAGCATTTGGAGCAAGTGATCTGTAGAGAGGGTGTGCAGTGTCTCCAGTCAGAATGTCAGGAAAATGACTAATGGGCTTTCCATTATTAATTAAAGGGCCATTTCCAAACCAACCATTGGTTCTAAAGCAGCACTATTTCTTATGTACACATCTGGGAAGCTCTTGAAAATCTTGCCTCATCTCATAAGCTTAAAGTTGTCTGTTATTTTAGTGATAATTAGAAATAGGAATAGAATATACCTTAATTTAAGAAGACTGGTAGAAATAATCAAAACTTAATAAAAAATCGGGGATCATTTTTCTTTTTAAATTAATTCACTATAAATGCTTTTTAAATATTCTTAAGTATCTTTTTATTCAAAAACATTTTTTTAAATGACTGATACCAACAATTTGCTAAGAATATATGAACAACTCTTTCTATATCTGTTATAATGATAGCTGTATTGTTTTTAGGATCTTATGAATCCTTCAGTGATCTCCCTGTCACCCACCACTTTCAATGAACTAGTTAAGCAAAGAAAACATGATGAAGTCTGGATGGTTGATTTCTATTCTCCGTGGTGTCATCCATGTCAAGTTTTAATGCCAGAATGGAAAAGAATGGCCCGGGTATAGTAAAATCATTTATTTCAAATCTAAACATTTACTGAGAATGTTTAACAGAATTATTTTGAAACTGGCATGAGTAAGCCCACCTCTAGATTATAACTTAACAGTTCTGATCATATCACTTGGATTTCAACTTAGTTTCTGTCTGGTATATGAATGGTATAGAATAATTTACCTTTTTTTGTGTTTCACTCCATACATATTATATTTGACCAAACTTCCGCCAATGTCAACCCAAAGGTCTCCTTTGTTTTTATTTTTAGAGCTCAGATATAGTGTCTTCACAATATTGTAGAACTTAAAAATAGCTTTGATCTACAACACTATTTGGATTTTTTAAATTTCATACAAATAGACATAGTTTTATATAAATCAAGAAAGATTGGAAAGAAAAGATTTAAATACCAGAATGGAAGATACAGTTACTTTCTGCTTATTTCTAAGATAAAACATGAACAAACTTGAGTTAAAGTGATTTCTGATATCAACATTTGAGATAATACAACTAAGTGCTCTTTTCATTAAAATTTTTAAATTTAGCTATGAGTTCATGTGCTGGCCACAGCCCATGTCTCCATTTGAAAAAGTAACTCTGGCTGAAACCGGTTTGTCTCAGTGGTAGAGCTTCGGTCTGCCGACTGAAAGGTCCCGGGTTCGATTCCAGTCAGGAGCATGTACATTGGTTGCGGGCACATCCCCAGTGGTGGGTGTGCAGGAGGCAGCTGGTCGATGTTTCTCTCTCATCGACGTTTCTAGCTCTCTATCTCTCTCCCTTCCTCTCTGTAAAAAAAATCAATAAAATATATTTTTAAAATAATAAAAAATAAAATAAAATATATTTTTTAAAAAAAAGAAAAAGTAACTCTGAAATACCATTGCCAAAACCTTCATTTGTTCTTGGTTTCTAACACTTTGAATTTTAGAAAACATTTTCATTTTCTCACCCTGGTCTATTTGGCTCAATGGATAGAGCGAAAGCCTACAGACAAAAGGGTCGCAGATTCAATTCTGGTAAAGTGCATGTACCCTAGTTGCAGGATCCTCCCTGGCCAGGCCCTAATCAGGGCATGTACAGGAGGAAACCAATCGATGTGTTACCTCTCACATCAATATTTCACTCTCTTTCCCTCTTTGTTCACTCTCTCTAAAAATCAATGGAAAACATCATTGAGTGAGGATTTTAAAAATTAATTAATTGGTGTTTTTTAATTATTTTCTCTATAATTGAACGAAATCATTTGTTTAACATGCAATAATTGTAGTGAGTTCTTAACTACAAAATTAGATTTCCAGTTTATTACTCTAAATGTTATATTATCTACTAGTATCAGTGATTTTTTTATTTGATAAAATATCTTATTTGCTAAAAATCAATGATAGTAGTAAATAATATAATAATCATCTCAGTGATAGTTTCTCTATTGCAAATATATATAAAGCAGTTGTGGAGGTAATTTCTAATCACTTTGATATATTTGTCTCCTCTTTTTCTTTTTCAGACATTAACTGGACTAATCAATGTGGGCAGCATAGACTGCCAACAGTATCATTCTTTTTGTTCTGAAGAAAATGTTCGAAGATATCCTGAGATAAGATTTTTCCCCCCAAAATCAAATAAAGCTTATCAATATCAGTAAGTACTGTCTAAAAATTTAAGGCACTTACTATAATCATTTATACAGTTAACATTTAAAAGTTATCCTGACTAAATAAAAGTTAACACCAGTACTTTTTTGGGAGCTCACCATGCTTAAAATAGTGTGCTAATGAGAACTTTGGGAAATGAAAAGAGAACTGAACAGTTACACTGCTCATGAAGCTGACAATCTAGTAAAGAAGAAATAAGGAGAGAAAGAACTAACCTTTATTAAGTCCCTAATTAGTTTCAGGTACTATACTAGATCTTTGCTCACATTATCTCCTCTAATCCTCACACATACCCTGAAAAACAAAAATTATTTCCCTTCCTTTACTATTACTTATCAGATAAGTAAACAGATTCAAAGACCTTAGATTAACTTAGATAACAGCTGCTAAGGTTTGAAGTTGGAGTTGGAACCCAGGTCTGTGTCAATCCCTATGTTTCCACAATACCACATGATTTTTCAGGTAGAAAACTGGAAATCGCAAGGCAAATATAATAAATATTATTTAACAAGTAAAAATGAACCATGTATTTCAAAGGAGAAAGGAATCACAACTGAGAAAATCATGAAATACTGCATTTGTGAGGTGGCTCTTAAAAATGGGTATGAATTTTAAGACAGTAATAACTGGAGTAAAGCCTTGGACATTTTTCGTTTTGTCATTCCTGTGAGTTTATAGATGTCCAACAAGCAGCTACATGTTCAGGTCTGTCTGGAACACAAAAAGACATTAAGACTAGTGAAAAATATATTTGGGAAGCTATGTAAGCAGTCTTTATAGCTAAGTGTATCGGAGAAGAGAGATGCTAGATAAAGTCATTGGGTTAAATTTATCTTTAAATTGCTACAATGAGATTGTTTTCTGAACATATCCAATAATGAAAAATTCTATTTACAACTGACATGTATTTTTCTTTTTTCAGTAGTTACAATGGTTGGAATAGGGATGCCTATTCCCTAAGAATTTGGGGTCTAGGGTGAGTAACTAAAATATATTATTGTATGAAATGGATTTAATATTATTTACCTTCTTATGTTATAATTAAATTTACTGTGAATTGTCTAAAATTCTAGTGTTTTAAAGCACTTAGTAAAAAATTATAACTTACCAAAGATAAGGTTGTGGTTTATTACACTGTTATTCTTTAAAGTCATTTTTAACTTAGACTTTTGCAGCATGATATTTTAGAAGTTTGTTTTGATTTTTGTATAATGAAAAATAATTTTGATTTTTGCCTCAGATTTTTGCCTCAAGCATCTATAGATCTTACACCTCAGACCTTCAATGAAAAAGTTTTACAAGGAAAAAACCATTGGGTGGTTGACTTCTATGCTCCTTGGTGTGGACCTTGCCAAAATTTCGCTCCAGAGTTTGAGCTCTTAGCTAGGGTAAGTCTTGTCTATCTACTTAAATACATTGTAATCACATGCTTGTCTTAAGAATTAGCTGAAACATTTTAAATACAATTTTTATTTTTTCTTAAAAGTTTCCTCTAAATTTCAAAAACTTTCATTTCTACAACTATAATCATCGCAGTAGGTGTCATTCTTTATTTAAAAAATTAGCCAACATCTCTACCTAATTCTGTTTTTGGGTCAGTGACTTTTTTTTTTTTTTTTTTTCTCCAATAAGAAACTAGACATCTACCCCCTGGGTCTTCAAATTCAAATTTAGGTGATAACTTATATGACTATTAATACAAAAGCATATGCCTGGCTCTGGCCAGGTTGCTCAGTTGGTGAGAGCATTGTCCCAGTAGCCAAGGTTGCAGATTTACTCTCTGGTCAGGGCACATACAAGAATCAGCCAATGAATGCATAAGTAAGTGAGACAACAAATCAGTGTTCATTTCTCTCTCTCTCTCTCTCCCCCTCCTTAGATGTCAGCATTATCTACCTAACCTTAATAGCCAGAAGCCTCACTTCTGCTTGTTCCCTTTTTCCTTCAATTAATTCCTTCCCTGCAATTAAGGAAGGAATCTTTTTTTGATCGGATGTGTACACTAGAGAAAGTAAGAGATATGTTAGTGAGATAACTGGAAAGTGTAGCTGGAATAGTCAGCCTTCTACAAGATGAGTGCTACCTCAGCACCTGAAACCAGAGAAAGACAGGGAGAAGACCGTCCCATATGTTTGTGCTGTGACAGACAGGTGTGGGTACCAAGAAGTTGAGGTCATTCTGGGCAAAGCTCAGTTTTCTTGATAAGGTAAAGGAGAAATTATTGCTATTGGAGACATGGTGCTGGACAAATAGGAATGCAAAGCACCAGTAAGAATTTGGAAACAATCTTATTTGAATGGGAAGGATTGAAATGTTTTAAATAACAAATCCTTAGGATTATAAAGATTTGAAATTTTTAATATCACATTGCTTTGTGGTTGCTAAAATACTTTATGCCAAAGAAAATGGTTAAACCAGCCAAGACCGGTTTGGCTCAATGGACAGAGCTTCGGCTTGGGGACTGAAAGGTCCCGGGTTCGATTCCGGTCAGGGGCATGTACCTTGGTTGCGGGCATATCCCCAGTAGGGGGTGTGCAAGAGGCAGCTGATCAATGACTCTCATCAATGTTTCTAACTCTCTATCTCTCTCCCTTCCTCTCTGTACAAAATCAATAAAATATTTTTAAAAAATGGTTAAACCATATTTGTCTTTTTTCAGATGATTAAAGGAAAAGTGAAAGCTGGAAAAGTAGACTGTCAGGCCAATGCTCAAACATGCCAGAAAGCTGGTATCAGAGCCTATCCAACTGTTAAATTCTTTCCCTACGAAAGAGCAAAGGTACGTACAGGTTTTTCCTTCATGTTCCTTTTCTTTAGCAGGCCAAGCCCAAAAGATTTTTTTGTTTAGACTGAGTAATGCTCTTTTCTAGTTTCTTCTCCGTTGATCATTATCTTATTGCATACTAGAGGCCCGGTGCACGAAATTCATGCACGGAGGGGAGGTATCCCTCAACCCAGCCTGCACCCTCTCCAATCTGGGACCCTTCAGGGGATGTCCGACTGTCCACTTAGACCCAATTCCCACTGGGATCAGGCCTAAGCGGGTAGTTGGACATCACTCTCACAATCCAGGACTGCTGGTTCCCAACTGCTCGCCTGCCCGATTACCCCTAATTGCTTCTGCCTGCCAGCCTAATCGATGCCCCTACCTGCCCTCCTCTGCAGGCCTGATCACCCGGAACTAGCCTCTCCTACTGGCCCAGTCACCCCTAACTGCCCTCCTTTGCCATCCTGGTCCCCCTCAACTGCCCTCCCTTGCAGGCCTGGTTTCCCCCAACTGCCACCACCTGCAGACCTGGTCCCCCCAACTGCCTTCCCCTGCAGACCTGGTCTCCCCCCCCCCCCCCCCCCCAACTGCCATCCCCTGCCAGCCATCTTATGGTGACCATCTTGTGTCCCCATGGGTGCAGCCATCTTGTTTGTTGAAGTAACGGTCAATTTGCATATTACCTCTTTATTATATAGGATTATTGAAACCTGGTCCTTTTTATATAATGATTTTAAAAGGTTTTGTGTCTCACAGTTGCTATGATCTCTATTGCCTTAAAATTTTTACACTCATGAATAGAAAATTACTCAAGAGACAAACCAAAATACTAATCATGATTTTCTATGGGTGATAGAATTCGAGGTAATTATTTATTTTCTGTGAAGTTTTATATTTCCTACTTTTATAGAATTAACATATATAGTACCTTTATAATTAATTTTTTTCCAGGAAAGAGTAGTATACTATTGTAATACTTTTGAAATGACCTTAGTACCAGTGTTTATCTTGTGGACTATTAAGGAATGATTTAGGCTATAAAAGTTGGTGCAGTCATAATTCCTTTTATAGGTCAGTGACTTCTTTTTCCCCCCAACAAACTAGATATCTAACCCATGGGTCTTAAAATTTAAATTCAGGTGATAACTTCTATGATTACTAATACAAAAGCATATGTCTGGCCCTGGCCAGGTTGCTCAGTTGGTTAGAATGTGGTAACAATATGCCAAGGTTGCAGGTTCAATCTCTGATTAGGGCACATACAAAAAACAGCCAATGAATGCATAAATAAGGGGAACAACAAATTGACGTTTGTTTTTCTCTCTTCCCCTACCTCCATCTCCTCTCTTTCTCTAAAAGAAATTATTTTTTAAAATATGTGTATTAGCCAGTATAATTGCTGACTGAAAGGACTCATCTTTGCTGTCTTCCCAAGTAAAAGAATGACATTTTTGTCACTAGAATTATGATAAAATATTTCCTTTGTACTATATTCATGTTTTCTGTAAAACATGAAATAATTTCAAATATTTTAATATTTTTTGAGAAAGAATATCTGATTAAGGTCTTATTTATTGGTAATTATACATTTTTAAATAGTGCTAAATAAATAAATGGTGAATTTCAGAAATCTAGAATTGTCAGACATTTAGATTTTTCAATGAAGGATTTTGATTAGTCCAAGAGGTAACTCTATTTTAAGAACAGCATAAAGTAAGCATCACTTGAGGGGGAAAGGTTTTATACCTGAACTTGAGTCTTCATTCCTTTGGAATCACTAGCTTTGCTTCCCAGTTTTCAGAACAGCTGAGAAGTAGGTGACATGTAAAATGATGTTAGAGAAATACCAGTGAAATGACCAATCACAGAAATGATCGGGCCAGAGAGGGACCTCTGAAAATATTGCCTGGCTTAGGTGGCTCAGTGGTTGAACATCGACCTATGAACCAGGAGATCCGGGTCAATTCCTGATCAGGGCACTGATGCTCCAGTTGCAGGCCTGATCCCCAGTGTAAGGCATGCATGATTCTATCTCATCATTGAAGTTTCTCTCTCTCTCTCTCTCCCTCCCTCCCTCCCTCCCTCCCTCCCTCCCTGAAATTTGTGTGTGTGTGTAATTAACAACAAACTGTTGAACAAAAATAGAACCAAAGACGTAGAAGCATCAAACAGACTGTCCAACCTATGAGGGAAGGCAGGCTGTGAGGGAGTAAGAGATCAAAGGACTTGCATGCATGCATGAGTATAACCAATGGATATAGACGGTAGTGGGGTGAGGGCATGTGCTAGCAGGGGTCTTCAAACTACGGCCCGCAGGCCACATGCGGCCCGCAGAGGAGTCTGATCCCGCCCGCCAGGTTTTTTGGGCAGTGAGCGCAGCTGAGGTGTTACAGTAGGAATTAGTAGTTCATATAGTCCGGCCCTCCAGCTCTCTGAGGGACCGTGATCTGGCCGCCACTTTAAAAAGTTTGAGGACACCTGTGCTAGAGGGATGGAAGCAGCCAGGGAGAGGTCAATGGGGGAAAAAGCAGACTCATGTAATACTTTTAAAAGAGTTTAAATTTTAAAAAGTATATAGATATATATTTTTTCTATGTATGTGTGTATATTTATATTTAAAAATGTATAGATACACATTTTTTAAAAAGGAGAAAATGTGATGTTACCATATGTCTAGAGGAGTCCAGAGGAAGATCAGGACCCAGAATATCTCTGTCCAAACTGAAAGGCAGGATCCAGAAGTCCAGGCTAGATGAGGAGGCCAAAGTAGAATAATGATGGGAATAAACAGAAATGCAAATCCAGATGGGCAGTTATATAACGAAACAAAATCCTAGCATCATTGTGCGGTTCTCTCCAGGAGGAATGAAACGGGCTCCAGATCCCACGTGAGCAGAGCTGGGCATATTCCCCCGTCCCCTGGGCAGAGGAGAGCCAGGAGACAGGCATTGCTTTTTATTGTGGCAGTTAGTCGTGGTTTTGTCTGTGTCAGAGATTGTATTAGATTAGAATGATTTCAGTCCTCTGGGCATATCTTATACAATTTAAATGTTTTCAGGCATTTGGAGTTAACAGTGCATTTTTTCCATGTTCTCATAACAGTATCAGTAGTATTTATGTCAGATAAATAATGGGTTAACTGTGCTCTTATAGCATTATTTCCTTGAAGAAATTTGAATTTCGTACACTTGGAACTTTAAGGACTATTTTATACAAGTTTCTTGGATATAAATGTCATGTTTTGATTAGATACTTAAAAGATTATAAGAAAAGTGTTTTTAATTTTAGAGAAATATTGGGGGAGAACAAATAGATTCCAGAGATGCAAAAGAGATTGCTTCTTTAATATATGAAAAATTAGAAAATCTCCAAAAACATGGAATGAGAAATAAGGTAAGAAATAAGTCTAGTGCTGACTTTGCAAACATTATCTAAAGTTATTCTTCTTATATTTTATATATATAAATAAGCAGGGAAAATGAAGCTTCAAAAAATAGAAAGTAGTTGGAAATTCTTCTTTGGAAAATCAGAATGTAGTCTATAAATACTGAAATGCTTAGAAATTTAGACAAGTAAAATCACTTAAGAAATTATAGCTAAATTATTTACATTTTGTTCAAATGTAAGTAAAGCAGTGACTTGTTAGGAATAGAATAAATAACGGGAGCCGCCTGACAGACACATTTAGAGAGCAAATACTCTTTTGTTCTTATTTAGTTGGGATGTGTTGGAACCCATGAACCTCCTGGCCTCTCCTTGAATTTTAAACCTATCAAGCAACCTTTCTCCTGGTATTCTTTGCAAGGGCTATTAATTATTTTTCTTCTTTAAATCATGTCATTCTCAGACATACTTAGACCAAAGAGTCCATGAATGCTAGATTGCTTTTTGAAAGGAATACACATTATGCTAATCAAAATAAGCCAGCAGGAGAAAGATAAATATCATATGATCTCACTCATTTGTGGGATATAATGAACAACATAAACTGATGATAAAATAGAAGCATTGAACAGACTGTCCAACCTAAGAGGGAAGGTTAGGGGGTAAGAGATCAAGCAAAGGATTTGCACGCATGCACCTGAGCATAATTAATGGACACAGATAGCAGAGGGATGAGGGCATGTGCTGGGGGGTGAAAGTGGCCAGGCAGCGGTCAATGGGGGAAAAAGGAGACTTATGTAATACTTTAAACAATAAAGAATTTAAATTAAAATTAAGAAGAAAAAAAAAGAAAGGAATACAGTCACATGAAGGTTCTTGGATTCCTTTCCTATTCAGTGAGAGGGCAGAAGAAACAGCACAGCGTTGGGAAAGGGACAGGGACGCCTGGCTCCGTAGAATCATTAAAACCACAGAGCCCAACACAGAGAGGCTTACAGCTGCTTTAAAGAACACATCAAAATATGACTGAATGTATAAAGCTATAATTGATAGTATCTGCCTTGGTAAGAACTAGATGATAACCTTTCCTCTACCATTGTTACAGGTAGGAGAGGTACATTTCTTATGTGGGTGGGCTCATTAAATAAGAATATAGCATAATTATTTTTGAGAAGATAAAATTTTGGTTAGCTTATACTATTTTACCCTTTTTTAATCTCACGTTTCTTTTCTCTTTGAATTGTTTTTATATTTTTGTTGAAGGATGAACTTTAATAATAGTGAAGATGAAGAAAGAGTTGAAAAGAAATTCTGACAAATGACATCAGAAGATATCTTCTTAGACTGTTACTACATTCATGGTGGGAATAAGTGAACATTATATTGGACTTTAATTATACTGTCTAAATTCTATACAACATTGGTATGAAAGAAGGTCTGCAAGCTTTCTATAATGTGCCAGGTCATAAATATTTTAGGTTTTATAGACCATATGCAGTTCTTTATCACATATGTTGTTTTGCTTTTACAACCCTTTGAAAAATGTAAAAACCACTCTTAGTTGAGGGCCATCCACAAATAGCCACAAGCCACATCCAGTCCATGAGCCATAGATTGCTGACTACTAAAAATGTTTGGGCTGGCTGGCTTGAACATGAGTCTGCTCTGCTAGTGTACTAGTATATGTTTAAGTGGAACAAAGTGGGCTTTATCACTTAATATGTTGTGGCTCACCTGAAAAAAGAGAACTTGGATTTCAATCGCCTGTTCTTCTAAAACTTCTCTGAAATTCTCTAATCATATTTCATTTTAAAAAAATGTGATGTGGCAAAATAAACAGATACCCTGTTTTCATGATGTATTATAGTGAAGAGATTCTTCATTCTTTCTGAAAGATTGAAGAATTAATTTTCCACAATTGAGAAAAATTTTTGTAACAGTGAGTTAGCAAATTCTATAGATTTCTACCGTATCCAGAAATACCTGAAGAAGAAAAAAAATATGTGCAACAATTAACAGGGCACTGTAGAGTATCCCAAATATATCAAGTATTTAGAGTTCTATATTTTAAAGATATGTGTTAATTTATTTTCTAAATATTTTTCATAAAGGTTTTCCCTGTGATACTAATTATCTTTTGAAGCATCTTTCTAATATTTATGTTTTTGCCTTGTGGGTTCTTTTGTTGTGTACCCTTCATTTAAATTTGCCAGTTTTTCTTCATAGTTGTTGTTTTTCACTCTTGTCTATTCTCTTAATTATTCAAACAGGAAAAATAACTTCGCGGTTTCACTGTAACTCACTGATAACGCAGTCATTCCCATTATTAGTTGGAGGCTATCGTGTTCAGATAAATATTGGCACAATAACCAGTTATTTTTGTAAGAAAATTAAGTCTATAAATCTAAAAATGAGATCTTTTACAATAGTTTCTCGCTTGTTCAGAATCAAATAATTACAATTTAGGGTGTATGTGATGGTAAGAATTTCAATTGAGCAAAAAAGAGGTCATTGAATTTAAAAAATATTTTCAGTTTTCCCAAACACCTATTAGGATTATATTTTATAGCTCCAACTTATAGGGGGAAAAAATTTATTTTCAAGTGTAACCCTATTCTTCATAGTCTCACCCATGTTGTTTTTAGTGTATTCCTTAATTCCTTCTTAGATCTCATTTTACACATGTAGGCACATACAGAATGATTACCACTTCTAGCCTTAATTTAACATCACCTTTTTGAATTATAATCAGTAATGGCAAGTGCCTTCATTTATTAAATTTTCAAAGCCTAGGACATTTTTTGAATTGGCTTGTCTCTATAAGAATCCTGAAATGGAATGCCTAAAGAAGTCCTGGTAAATATTGACTGATTACTGTACTAGACAATGAATGTCAGTGTGCTGGACACTGAGGAGAGTACAAAACGGCCCACGTGTGTGTGATTCACAGTCTTGACACTGAATCCATAAACAAGGATGCATGCACCTATATATTACTACCTGTAAGTATAATTCCAAATTAAATTGAAAAACATCTTAAACAGTAAAAAAGTAGGAAATGTTATATATCCTGTTACTTGGCCTAAGTATGTGCCAGTGGAATCAGCTGTAAAGCCAGCGCTATCTGTGAGTCAGGGTGAGTGATGTGTATCCTGCAATCACATCAGTATCATTGGTCTTAAAAAGACGGCTGACAGAATTCAAGGCTTAATGGCCACATTCGCACAGGAGAGTACCTCTAAAGAAGCCATTTCTCTCAGCAACCCCACTGTTGTGTGCAAGGGGCTCCGGGGAACGCACCATCAGTTCTAGCAGACCAGAGTCCATTCTGTCAGCAGCTAGATTTTAAAATGAGATACGTTTAAATATGTGACATGTGAAACCATTCTGAATTTCTGTTTTTGGTATTAATGATGCTTACGTATCCCAGTTTTCCAGTTTTTAACATCTTTCATATATATTTTTTAAGTATGTGATTAAGATAAAGGAAAAATAAAATGAAATTGTTGTATAATGACTTTTATATTGTAAAAGTTTTCTTTAAATTGGTTCTTTTTGTTTCCTTGTGGGGGGTGGGATTTAATATTGTTAAACAACTAGGGTAAAAAATCTAGATTATCTATAAATGCAATAGAACAGGATCAGAAGCTTCCATAGGGGCCCCAATAGTAAAGGGATGTGATACTTTTGGTGGCTTTGTGATGACATAACCTCCTGGGTATTTTAGCGCTCTAAAGAAAATGTTTACTCTGCACTACTACAAAATCAGCCATAAGGGGTTTTCTGTAATGCTGATACACTTTTTGCAAGCCATGTATCTCTCAGTTACATTTTCTCAGTTGATTACATTCCAAATAGCTTTCAGATATTTTTATACTGAAAGTAATAAGCATGCTCCCACACATCATTCCCCAAAAGTAGAATGAGATGAGACCTGTTATTGAAGGGGATCCTGGTTAGAACAAGCAGCAATCGATAAGCATCCTTGTTCCTTATGGAAACCAGGCCAGCTCCCCCCTGAGCCTTGAACGCCAGCAGAAACAGCGATCAGTTAACTTCTTACAAGCAGCGAAGGAACCAGTCACGTTTGATGACTTCCAACAATTCCCCTTTGGGTTCGCCACCATCACTCGGGCTCAGGTCTGATGAGAAAATGCAGATTAATACGTCCTCCACTGTGGAACTTCTGGCAGGCTGAAGAGTTATTTGAGTTGTAATGTCACCCTTCTCCGTGCCTCCCGGTACTTTTCCTCGCCTCCCTGGTGTTCAGGTTGTTCACATCGGCCACGTGGTGCTTGCTGTGGTGCAGCTGCATGATCCGGGCGTTGATGTGTGAGGCTCTGGGGCACCATAGTCGTAGGGCAAGTCCGGGAGGTGGTGTGCTGACAGCCCGGAGTGAACCAGTCAAGTCTTTGTTTTCTGACAGTATTCAAAGCAGAAATTTTCTTTGCGGTACATTCATTGGAAACGAAATACATTGTTTCCTATGGGGCACATTTACAAAGCTGCTTAATTTGAGAAAGTTTTTAATGAGGAAGTAGTATTTTTAAACTATTTTAATGGAATTTTTGTATAATTAGTCTAGTTTTAAACCTTATATCTACCAACAAACTCAGGAAAAGATCTTAAATTATGCATATTCAGTGAAAAATACAAAGGTTAAATTAGCCCTGACCTATTTGGCTTGGAATAGAGCGTCAACCTGCAGACTGAAGAGTCCCAGGTTCAATTCCGGTCAAGGGCACATGCCCAGGTTTCAGGCTCATCCCCATTAATGGGTGTGCTGCCAATCAAGGATTCTCTCTCATTGATGTTTCTATCTTTCCCTCTGTCTACCTCTCTGAAGTCAATAAAAATATTTTTTTAAAAAAAGGTTAAATTAACCTAATGCATATTAAATTTCCTATACCTAAAGAATAAAATTGATTCTGAAGATGAAAAAGAATTAATATACAGGCAGTCCTCGGATTGATTCAACATACATTGTTTCGTGGTTATGTCGCCATCTCCATTTATATAAAAAATGTAATGTCATTTCAACATATATACAATACATATGTGCTTTATGGGGTTTTTTTTGCTGTTTCACTTCATTACTGCTGTGTATGTGCTCCATGTGAGTGATGTAGGTGGAATCTAACAGCAGCAATACAATAATAGTAAGGTATGTCAACCCCCACTTTCATCAATGGGTAGATTTAGATAAAAATTCAATAGGGAAACATTGAGTTTAAATTATATGTTAGACCAGATGGACGTAACAGACACAAAATATTCCATCCAAAAGCAGCAGGATATACATTCTTCTCAGGTGCATAGGGGAGATTTTCTAAAATAGATTATACGTTAGGGCACAAAACAAGTGTTAATAAATTTAAGAAGTTTTAAGTCACATCAAACATCTTTTCTAATTTCATACAATTATGGTCAGAAATCAATTACAAGAAAATTAGAGAGTGTCTTAAGGAGAAACCAAGATGGAGGGATAGGTAAACATCTAAACTGCCTTGCACAACAATTTCAAAACAACTGAAAGACAAAACTGACATCATCCAGAATCACAGGAAGGCTGGCTGAGTGGATTCTAACTAGAAGAAAAGAGAAAAGCGCCCTGAGGCTCAGGAGCTGCAGGAGGCAGAGGTACTGAAATGTACACACACAGAGGCCTGGCAACTGCGCGGCTGGCTTTCTCAAGCAGGAGGGAGACAAAAGCTCCCAACTGCATTGAACTCCAGTTCCAGGCAAGACTCTGGGGACCCAGACTCATTCAGGGAGAAACTGGACTGTCTGGCAGCCGGCAGAACTGGAGGGCGGATTTCTCTGAGGTGCTTGCAGCGATTACCACAAAACACTGAGACACGGGAGCCTATTAGGGCAGGGCTGATGGGAAACAAATGCTGTCTGCTCTGCCTTGAGACTGCCCATCCAAGCTGAGGACAGAGGCTTTTGCAAGTCTCCTATAAGGTGTTTCCAGCATAGAAGTTCTCCCAGTGTAGACACAGCTGATCCTCACAGCCAATTAGCCTGGAGGTCAATTCCTCCCAGTAATACCAACAACAATCAAGGCTTAACTACAAGACTGCACACAGCCCACAAAGGGGTGCACCAAGAGTGTCCAACTCAGGTAACTACAATAGGAAGGCTGAGCCACTGGGCCCTATAGGACAGCTAGCACACAAAGCCACTCTATCAACTCAGGGAAGCAGCCAATATGCAGAGACAAACATCACAAATGAGAGGAATGGGGGAAAGCAAATGACTGGATATAGAGTTCAAAACCACAGTTATAAGGTTTTTTAAGAATTTTCTAGAAAAGGACAAATTTAGCAAGACCCTCGAGGCTATGAAAAAGGACCAACTAAAAAGCATACACTGACTGAAATAAATATTATATAGAGATCTAACAGCAGACTAGAGGATCACAAGAATCAAGTCAAAAATTTGAAATACAAAGAAGAAACACAACCAAAAAAGAAAAAAGAATGCAAAAATATGAAGAAAGTGTAAAGAGCCTCTGGATTAACTTCAAGCATACCAACATCAGAATTATGGGGGTGCCAGAAGAAGAGAGAAAGCAAAATACTGAAAACCTATTTGAAGAAATAATGACTGAAAACTTCCCGCACCTGGTGAAAAAAATAGACTTACAAGTCCAGGAAGCACACAGAACCCCAAACAAAAGGAATCTAAAGAGGAGCACCCCAAGACACATCATAATTAAAATGCCAAGAGCAAAAGACAAAATATTAAAAGCAGCAAGAGAAAAATAGTTACCTGCAAGGGAGCAATCATACTCAATAAGAAGGTATATCAAAAGGCCTAAATCTAAATCATCCTATCAGGGCTTTAGAAAGATAATTTAAAGTGAATTATCGTATATAATAAAAAGCCTAATATGCAAATTGTTCCCTCGACCACTCGCTATGAAGTGCACTGATCACCAGGCGGTGGCACAGAACATAGAGGGTGTCAGCAGAACATAGAAGGTGTCAAAGATGAATATCACATGATCTTACTTATATGTATTGTAGAATCTAATCAACAAATTGGTGGAGCAGGTGAGTGGGTGGCACCAGGCCAAGGCGGGTGCAGCAGGGTCAGATTGCCCTACAGACAGTGACCACTGGTGGCAGTGCTGAGGCAGCTGGGCAGGGGCCCAATGACTCAGGCAGAGGGGGTCATATCGAGGATCAGGGGCCCAGATGCTGCCCAGGGCCCAGAGGTCAGCTGGGACCCGCCCTTCCATGCCAGACTCTCACACTTCAATTGCCAGCCAGGCCTAGGGACTGCACCATGCATGAATTTCATGCACTGGGCCTCTAGTGTATAATAAGTTTGAAATGTAGAAAAATACCTATTTTACTACAGAAATTATAGAATTTTGCTGATGTGTCTTATATAAACTTAGAAAAAAATCTAAATAATAAGAAAATGCCTAAATAATAATTTCTACTTCCTCACCAATACAGGGCTAGGAAAAAGTAGGTTCACAGTTGTGATTACATGAAACAGTTTATTCTTGTATTATTTATTTGTTTATTGTATTACTTATTTCTATTATTTTTATACAAAAAGTGTAAACTTACTTTTGCCTAACCTTGTATTTACAGTTATTTTCTCTGAAGATAGAAGCCATGGCTTTCTTATTTTCTGCTCTGTTTTCAGAAGCTAGCACATACGTGTACAATGTATATTCTAATTAAACCAGAAATATTATACCATATTGTTAAAGTTGTATAGAATTTGTAGTGCAATTATGATTTTAAAAATATTGGCCAGAAGTTACATTATTT